GCTTCTGCCGGCACAGCTGTGTCTACCCTAGGGGCTTCTGCCGGCACAGCTGTGTCTACACTAGGGGCTTCTGCCGGCACAGCTGTGTCAGGCAGGGATCACACCTCTTTTCACGCACGTGGCTATGCCGGCAGAAGTCTGTAGCATTGACAGAGCCTGAGCAAACCCTCTTTATTTGTTGAAAAGGCCTGTGGGAGCACATCTCCACGGTGATCGAGAGCGTTCATGACCTTGAGCGAAGGATCCAGAAAGCCAAGGACAATGTCGAGGAGATTCAGAGCATCATGAGGTCATGGGTCTCACCAATTTTTGAGAGGAAAGATGGAAAAAGGGAAAACGTGCTCAGTCTGGAGGACCGGCCTGAACGGCTAGAAAAGCGCTACAACCTCATCAAAGAGTCGGGGCTGAGAATCCATGCACTGGTGAAGGTGAAGAGAGTATTGGCATTGCTTTATTGTGCTACAGAGCAGATAGAGAATGCTGCTGGGGGCTATTGGTTGTCCATAGAGCCTGCTTCTCTTCGCACTAAATTTCTAGTATTCATGATTCTGGAGAAAAGTTTGAGTAAAGACCAAAATCCAGAAGGCAAATGTAAAGAATCTCATGATTTTTCAGCCATTCTCATGATTGTGGGGGGCCTGACTCCTGGTTTTGGATGCTTAGTGTTGGCAATACTGCAGTCGGTTTTATGCCCCCGTCCGCTCAGTGAGCATGTGGCTCCACAACCCCCAATCCATCATTTCCATTGCCTTCCCGAATTCTGCCCTCACTTGCACTCCAAGCATTAAAAGCAGTAACAATAAACATACAATAAGCAGAGTTTGTTCTGGGGTCAGAATTTCTGTTGGCACCTGGTGATTAGATTTCAGAGCAGGCACTTTAAATGATTTTATGGCTCAGGGAGGAGGCTCACATTTCAAGTGTCAAATCAACTCCGATTTAGCTACTAAATTAATGCAAGTGGAACAGCCCCATCTCCTTCTGGCAAGTCTGCTGAAAGACAGTCCAAAGTCTTTGTTCTGCTTTTCTAACTGTTACATTTTCTATTACTCTGAATCTCTATGTAGTGCTGTTGAGCTGTTTAATCAACTGTTTGACTTGCACATTTTGAATTATTTCCCTAGAATTTGTAGTTGCAATTCCCAGAACCAGAATAGTCTCTGCTCCTTTGACCAGAGGAGGTTGCCTACATTTTGGTTTTAGTACATTGGTTAAAGTGCTAGCAGGAGACTTGAGGGTTAATTCCCTGTTCTGCCACAGACTTCCCGTGTGACCTTGGTCAAATCACTTAGACCATGTCTACACTAGAGACCTTACATCGTGTTTTTGTCTTTTATCATTTTTCTGTGTGAGTTCATTGGAGAGTAGAGTGATTGTCTGACTTCACCCACATAGTTGTTATTGGGGCATGTAATGCACTGGATGATGTTGTGATGGGCATGTATAGGACCCAGGTATCCTGAAAGGTGTGTCGGGGGCGGGGTGTTACAGTGCAGTCAGACAGAATCACCCCTGTGAGGCAGGGCAGTGCTATTAGCCCCATCATACAGATGGGAACTCTGGTCCAGAGAGACTAAATGATTTATTCAAGGTCACACAAAAGTCTGTGTTAGAGGAGGGAACAGAACCCAGGGCTCCTGTATGCTAGGTTAGCACCTTCACTGCTAGACCATCCTTCCTATCTGCTCGCTATCTTCCTAAACGCTATCAACCTGCTTAATCTCTCTGTATTAATTTGTATCAGTTGTTTTAATAATAGTCCAGTGGGTCATTCTACCATGAGACGAATTCAGTCTGGCTGTATTTGAAGGTGACTTCCATTTTTTTTCAGGAAAACCTGAGTCTGTTCGCCGCAGACCCCACCTCCGAAGTTTGGAAAGCGTACATTGATTATGTGGATGAAATGATCTTGGATGGATTCTTTAATGCTATTGAGTGCTCCCTCAAATACCTCCTGGAAAACACAGGTAACTGAGCTGTCCTTTCTTAGGCCAGGGTGGTTTCCCCTCTCTGCTCTCAGCGAGGTTTCCATTGCTTGTGTGTAGCCGGAATGTCCTGACCTGCTGTCCATGGCTAGGCAGTGTTTGTGTCTGGGCAGAAGGGAGGCAGCTGGACAAGGAGTGCAGTTTTGCTGTGCAGCAAGAGCAGGAGTCATTGTGTGTTGAGCTGCCCTGTCAGAGCTCCTGGGGATGGCTCCAGGCTGTATTGAGAGTCTCTACATGTACGTGGTTTCTGTTAGCTCCAGGTATGCTGACACTGCCACATAACACCCACGGCTGGCCCATGTCAGTGACTCAGACTCACGGGGCTCAGGCTGCAGGACTATAAGATTGCTCTATAGCTATTCAGGCTTGGCATTCGGCCTGAGGCAGCTGACATGGGCCAGCTGCAGGTGTTTAATTGCAGCGTAGCATATCCTTCGAGACCCTAAGAGACCCAGGCATGACCAGGCTGTGGTTCCCATCTGGAGGAACACAGCACAGAGGGAGGAAGGGTAATAGCACTCTGTTGCCTGATTTCTGTTCCACACTCTTCCTGGAGGCCAGTAGATGCTCTTTTTCTGTCTGCCTCTGTGCTTACACTGGCACTGTACCATTAGCCAGCCCGTGGTGATGCCAGTCGCAGCAAGTGTTTGAGAAGCCCATTAACATGTGGAGCCCTCACATAAACTGAGTGGAGGCAGGTAAATCTGTGGAGCAGATCAGTGCTAACAGGCTGGGTGTGGAGAGCACCACAACAAATATTAACGAGATGATGGACAATGTAATTTAGAGTGGTGATCCCAGCTCTGCTGAGTGGTGCTGGCACCAGTTAGAGCCTCTCTCCCATCTGCAAAGGACCCAGGCATTGCGTGACACCCTCTTCCACATCCAGGAGTGGCTCAAGGGCCCAATTTGTGACTGGTCAAATGGAATAAGAGTCCTGGCCCACAAGGAGGACTGGTTTCAGTCACCCAACCCAGGGCCTGTGCTAGACAGAGATGACACCAGTAAAGTGTATTTCTTCTGCCTGCTATGAACATATGGTGACTTCTGTTCATCTCTTCACAGCGTTTGCCATTCCAGGTACTTTCCTCCCTGTGATTAATAAGGGACCATTAGATCTTCTTTTCTAACCTCCTGCATAATGCAGGCCATTATATTTCATCCAGTCACCCCTGTATTGAACCCAGTAACTTGTGTTTGGCTAAAGCATCTCTTACAGCCTGGATCTGAAGAGATGGAGAATCCACCACTTCCCTGGGCGGTTTGTTCCAAAGGTTAATCACCCTTACTGTTAAAATAAGGTGCCTTATTTCTAATTGGACTTTGTCTGGCTTCTGCTTCCAGCCATTGGTTCTTGTTCTGCCTTTCTCCGCCTGATTAAAGAGCCCTTAAGTACCCAGTATTTCCTTCCCATGAGGGCACTTCTGTACTGTAATCTAGTCACTTCTCAGTTTTCTTTTTGGTAAACTAAAAGTCTGAGCTCTCTGTCTCTCACTGCACGGCATTTTCTTCAGGCCTCAAATCATTTATGTGGCTCTTTTCTGCACCCTCTCCAATTGTTCAACATCCTTTTAAAAATGTGAACACCAGAACCGGATACTGTATTCCAGTATTGGTCTTACCAGTGCCATATGCAGAAGTAAAAATCATCTTCCTACTCCTACGTGCTACTGCCCTGTTTATACATCCAAGGATCGCATGAACAATTTTTGCAACAGCATCACACTAGGAACTCATGTTCAGTTGCTTGTGCATCATGACCCCTGAATCCTTTCAGTGTTACTCTGTTCCAGGATGCAGTCCCCGCATTGAGCAGGGATGGCTGCATTCCTTGTTCCTAGACGTGCAAGCTTGCATTTGGCTGTATTAAAACACAGTTTGTTTGAATGGGCCCTATTTTTCAAGTGATTCAGATCACTCTGTATTTCTGCACTGTCCTCATTATTCTTTACCACATTGCCAGGCTTTGTGTCATCCACAAATGTTATTAGCAATGATTTTATATTTATTTCCAGATTGTTGATGAAAATGTGGAACAGCATCAGACCTAGTATCAATCCCCGCAGAGCCCCACTAGAAACACTGCTCTTTGAGATCGGTCTGTTAGCTAGTCCTTAACCACATCACGGGTGCTCTCCTGATGTTGTATAGTGCAAATTTTTAAATCCAAATGGCGTGTGGTACTAAGTCAAATGTCTTATAAAAGTCTAGGAATGTCAAAGTCTACTCAAAAAAGCGACAAAGAGTCCTATGGCACCTTATAGACTAACAGACATATTGGAGCATAAGCTTTCGTGGGTGAATACCCACTTCATTGGATGCAAGTCTACTCAGTTACCTTGATCAGCCAAACTTGTAATCTCATCAAAGAGTGAAATTAGATTTGTTTGACTTGAAGAATTTTCCATAAAACCATGTTGACTGGCATTAAGTATATTCCTATCCTTTAATTCTTTATCAATTGAATCCTGTATCATCTTTTCCATTACTTTGCCCAAGCTTGATGTCAGGCCAACCGGCGTATGGTTGCCCCAGTCATCCCAATTGCCCTTTTCGGATATTGACACAACATTAGCACTCTGCCAGTCTTCTCGAATTTCCCCAGTGTTCCAATATTTATTTAAGATTAATGTCAGTGGGCCAGAGATCTCCTCATCTTACTCTTTTCAGACTCCTGGGTGCAAGTTATCTGAGCCTACTGATTAAAAATATTTATCCCTAGTAGGTGTTTCTTAACATCCTCCTTAGTTACTAATTGGCTGGTAAATTCTTCATCATCCTCATTTGATATGAGTACATCATCCTGCTTTTTTCCAAGTACAGAACAAACATTTCTGCCTTTTCTGCATCATTAATATTTTTGCCATCACCTTCTAGTACAGTAACTCTCACTTTAAGTCGTCCCGGTTAACGTTGTTACGTTGCTGATCAATTAGGGAACATGCTCATTTAAAGTTGTGCAATGCTCCACTCTTACGTTGTTTGGCTGCCTGCTTTTTCCACAGCTGGCAGCTTCCCTACGCCCCCCCCTCCCCACAGCCCCTCCCGCCCGCCGGCAGACCCTGCGGATCAGGATCAGCGTCTTCCCCCCCCTCCCCCCCCCCCCCCCCCCCCCCCGCCTGCGGCAATCAGCCGGCTTGCGGAGTTTCGGGGGCAGGAGGGAGGGGGGAGGAGCGAGGACTCCGCATGCAGGCTCCCCCTCCCTCCCCTGCCTCCCGAACACCACAAGCCAGCTGATTGCCCTGGGCAGGAGGGAGGGGGGAGGAGCAAGGACTCAGTGTGCAGTCTCCCCCTCCCTCCTGCTGGCAATCAGCTGGCTTGCATCGTTTAGAAGGGAGGGGAGGGAGGAGCGAGGACGCAGCCTGGGAAGTAAAGGGGGAGGAGGGGGAAGGGGAGAAGAGGCAGGTCAAGGATGGGGGCTTGGGGGAAGGGGTGAGTGGGCAGGCTGAGGCTTGAGTCCCTCCTCCTCCCCCACCCCGCCCCTGGTGCTTGCAGAGGTAGGGGAAGCTGCCGCTGCTGCGCAACGTGTTTCTCCTAGCCTACAGCACCTTCAGCCTCCTTGCCTGCCTCATTTCCAGTGCCAGTGGGCTGTGCCTGTGTGGGGTAAGGCAGGGGCACCTCCCAACTATAGTACTGTACTGTATGTACAGTATGTTTGTAAACACACAGCATGTGCACACTACTCCCCCGCAGCGTAGTATTAAATCGCTTGCTTAAAATTGTTTAAAATGTATATAATGCCTTTTCTCTGGCAAAAAAAAATTTCCCTGGAACCTAACCCCCCCATTTACATTAATTCTTATGGGGAAATTGGATTCGCTTAACATTGTTTCACTTACAGTCGCATTTTTCAGGAACATAACTACAAGTGAGGAGTTACTGTAATGAGTCTATGCCATTGTTAGGATTTCTTTTGTTCCTGATATACTTATTAAAAAGCCTCCTTTTTGTCCTTGGTCTTTCCAGCCATGGATTTTTTTCCCTGATGTCTTTAATTTCCCTTATCAATATTCTACACTTCATAACTTGTAATTTATACTAATTGCTGTATATTCGCTTTATTACATTTGTTATTTGTTGCTTTTTTATTACTAATTGCTGCCATCATCACTTCATCACTGAAGAGGATGGGCTTTTAGCCACAGTTTTGTGAAACTTTTCTTGATTGTGGAACCTAATGAACTCTTTTTTTAAGAACGCCCAATTTTCATTCACATTTTTCTGTCTAAATGTTTTCTTGCAGTCAGTTTCACTTCTAAATTTTCTCAGCATGGGGAAATTAGGTGTTTTGAAACATCAGGTATTCATTTTACTGGTTGGAACTGTCCTCTGTTTGCCCAGAATACATGTAATCAGGTCATGATCACTGGTCCTTGGGAAACCACCAACTTCTAGTTCAGTGATTCATTTATCTTTATCCTTTATATCGATGTTCAAAATAGAGTTACATCATGTTGGGATCAATACTTTTTGAGTAGAAACTCCAGTGATGTTTTACTACTGGCTGCAAGAGACCTTCATCATATATCTCCCCAGCTGAAGTCCCCTGGCACAGAAGTGCTGTTCCAGTGCACCCCTTTGTGGCTGGATGTGGTGATGTGGCAGTTCCGCCTCAGTTTCCCCACAAAAATCATCAGCCTACTCAGCCCCAGAGAGCCCAGCCCCTTGAAAGTATTTAATCCCTTCTGGGGTAACAGAGTCCCTTAGTCCAAATCCAATAAATGCACTGAGCAAAAGAATCCTCAGTCCAGCTGGGCTCTGCCTCATGCCCCTTCCATGCAGGCAGCCCCCCCTCCCTACCCCCCCACCCCGCTATGACGGCCTGTCCTCCTGCTTAGCAACTGGTGCCCAGGCTCTTCTGTAAGAACCACCCAGGCCAAGACTACCCTCTTCTCAAGGGCTCCAGCAAGCCACAGTCCCCCTATAATCACTGATCTGAGGCAGATTTCTTGCCCCTCATAGGAGCAGTCTGTGTGCTGTCCTTCTGCAGCAACCCTCAGCTGCTCAAAACACAAGAACTAGAGGTCACCAAATGAAATTAATAGGCAGCAGGTTTAAAACAAGCACAAAGGAAGTATTTCTTCACACAACGCACAGTCAACCTGTGGAACTCTTTGCCAGAGGATGTTGTGAAGGCCAAGACACTAATAGGGTTCAAAAAAGAACTAGATAAGTTCCTGGAGGATAGGTCCATCAGTGGCTATTAGCCAGGATGGGTAGGGATGGTGTCCCTAGCGTCTCTTTGCCAGAAGCTGGGGATGGGTGACAGGGGATGGATCACTTGGTGATTACTTGTTCTGTTCATTCCCTCTGGGGCACCTGGCATTGGCCACTGTTGGACCCGGGGCTGCTCTTGAACCCTGTCTGGTGTGGGGTGTGTCACACACCTGACAACGCAGTTTTTCTTTCCACCCATTCCAGACAGGTGTTTCAGGAGTGACTCATTCTGTTCTCTGGCGTGATTGGTTGGTCTGTAAACACCCCTACCAGTATCCCCTCCCGAGGTTTGGTAGTTAGCATATAGATCAATACGCATTCAAGAGCCTGCGGTTCTGAGTTATCAATGACTCTAAACCAAGTAATGGTCTGTAATGTAGCGTGCCGCCCCCCGCATCTCTTGTGCTCACTCTTCCCTTCCTGAACAGGTTATAAGCAGAGATTCTAACGTTCCAATCCTGCAAATCATCCCATGTGCATGGAATGGCTGCTCCTCACTGTGTGCGTCTTGCAGGACTGGGCAAAATTGTTCAGACTAATAGTTTATCCGCTGAACAACGCAAGTTCAGGTCAACCAAAATGATTTGTGAACACAGGCTGAATTTGGCAAATTGTTTCATGTGAGAAAAATGATTTTTTTGTTAAAAGTATCAGCCTAGATTAATTAAAAAGAAAGAAAAAAAGCTCATTTGTCAGTTTAAATGTTTTGTTTGACCCAAAATGGGATGTGTTATGTGGTTTTTCGTTTTAGCAAGAAAATGGAAAAAATTCTGTTTTGACTCAATCCAAATTGAAAATTCTTTCAGATTTTTCTGTTTGGTCACAGAACTGACAAATCAATTATTCGTTCAGCTCTAGTGTCCCTTGGGTGATGACCGTGATGATGGAGTAGAGTCACTTCTTGTCTTACCCAAGCCCGGACCCCATCATCTCTTTTGCTCTCTTTCAGATTCCCAGGCAGCACTGGCTCCCCTGTTTGAGGTGCAGCTGGATCTGGTGATCCCCGATTTGGTATTCCACCCCTCGCTGGATCCTGGTGCTAACGACGGCTTCTATGACATGGTCGAAGGACTCCTCAATGACATCTACCGGATCTCATCCCTGGTGCCCAGGCTGGCTGAGCACAGTGTTTTCCCTCACTATCAGGTCTCTTGCCTCAGTCCATGCTCTCCTATTGCACAGCCAGGAGCGGCGCCAGGGTTTTTGGCGCCCTAGGCAGGGGTCCTTCCGCGCTCCCAGTCGTCGTCGGCAATTCTGCGGCCGGTGGGGGTCCTTCCGCGCTCCCGGTCTTCAGGGCACTTCGGCAGCGGGTCCCAGAGTGAGTGAAGGACCCGCCGCAGAATTGCCGCCGAAGACCCGGAGCGCGGAAGGACCCCCTGCCGCCAAATTGCCGCCGAGGGCAGCAAAATGACGCCCCCCCCAAATCCTGGTGCCCTAGGCAATTGCCTAGGTCACCTAAATGGTAGCGCCGGCCCTGTGCACAGCAATGTGCAAAATGTGCTCTAGATCAGCATCCACTCACAAGGCCTCTCTGTCATTTCCCAGGCTGATATGGAGGACATGGGTGACTTAGCTGACATGCGCCACAGCCTCCTGGAGCGTGTGCAGAACACGATGTCAACCTGCAGTGATTACCGCAACTCCTTTGACCACTACTCTTACCTCTATGGGGATGACAGGAAGGAATTCATACGCCAGTTCCTGTTGTATGGGCATGTCCTGACTGCGGCAGAAATTGAAGCCCATGCGGACAATGGAGTCCCAGAGAGCCCACCCACGTTACAGCAGTTCAGGGAGCAAATTGACTCCTATGAGAGAATCTATGATGAAGTCAACCACCTGGAACCAGTGAACATCTTCGACAGTTGGATGAAAATCGATGCTCGACCCTTCAAAGCAACCCTGCTGAATGTCATCAAACGGTGGAGCCTGATGTTTAAACAGCATCTCATTGATCATGTGACACACAGGTAATAAAGGCGTGTCTGCCCCATCTCCATTGGGCTCCATCCAGGTGGTTACACTGAGCAATGTGGGATTTGTTTTCTCTGTCCACCCCATCCGAGAGTGCTATAACCTGGCAGGGGTGCCTGCCCCTCCAATCACTGCACACTCCATCAGGGTGCAGGCCTCTTTAGCAGCTTTCCTGGCTCAGGTTCCTACCCAGGAAATATGCAGGGCATTGACGTGGTCCTCCATACACACTCTCACCACACATTATGCGATTACATAGCAGGCCAGAGCGGTACTTTGGTAGAGTGGTGCTCCAATCAGAGGACAACTCCTACCCCACCTCCTGAACTTGGGCTTGTGATTCACCTGGCTGGAATTGACATGAACAAGCACTCGAAGAAGAAAAAACGGTTAATCACCTTCTCATAACTGTCGTTCTTCGAGACGTGTTGTTCATGTCCATTCCAATACCCACCCTCCTACCCCTCTGTCAGAGTACCCAGCAAACAGGAACTGAGTGGGGGGTCGGGTCGGCAGGGCCCTATATTGGGCGCTATGAAGGCACGACTCCAGGGGGCGCCCAGGCTGATCCTATGGATACTTCTAGGGGCAAAATCTTCTGACTGTCATGCACGCAGCGCGTGAACACCTGATTAGAATGGACATGAACAACTCATCTTGAACAACAGTTACGAGAAGGTGAGTAACCGTTTTATATAAACTGCTCTCACTGTGTGTTTTCCTGTTTTGTATTATTTAGCTTGGCTGATCTTGAAGAATTTATAAAAATTGCTGATAGAGGTTTGAACAAAGAGGTTGAAAAAGGAGATTATGATGGTTTGGTGGAGATTATGGGTCACCTTATGGCTGTTAAAGAAAGACAGAGCAGCACTGATGAGATGTTTGAACCTCTGAAGCAAACAATTGAGCTACTGAAGATATATGAGCAAGAACTTACAGATGAAGTGTATAAGCAACTAGAGGTTGGTGAAAACTTATGACCAATACACAAAACTGCAAAATATTAGACACCTAAAAAGAAAGTGATCATTGTACATTAACAAATGTTAAGTACCTGGGCTCAGTAATCAATAGGCCTCAGTGGGCAGATTATTTTGATAGCCGAGTGGCAGAACATCTATTGTGGATGTGCCATCGCAGCTCCCTAGATAAAGCTACATCAAGATTGTCAATTACAGCAGAGATTTAGCCCGTTGTTATGTGTGAACGATGCAGTGCCCCTCCCCAGATGGACAGCACTTGCTCCGTAAGAACAGAACATGTATTCAGGTAGATCTGTTAATTATTTTATGGAGTTACAATTATTTTTAATAGGTGTATTAAGCAGGTTTTTTGGTGAGTGCTGTAATGAAAGGGCGTTAGTGCTTGGATGCAACCCCATGCTCTGGGTGTCCCTAAGCCTCTGACTGTCAGATGCTGGGACTGGACAACATGGGATGGATCACTCAGTAATTGTCCTGGTCTGTTCATTTTCTCTGAAGCATCTGGCATTCACCACCATCGGAAGACAGGGTATTGGGCTGGATGGACCATTGGTCTGACCCAGTATGGCCATTCTTATGTTCTTGTTACAAAGGGTAGTCCCTTGTTTAGGGCACTAGCCTAAGAGTCAGGAGACTGGCATTCAATTCCTACCTCTGCCACATGATTCCTGTGTGATCTTGGGCAAACCACCTTGGCATTAGGCAGCGGATGCTTTTGAAAATCTTACTAGGCACCGAGCTGCATCTTTTGGTGCCTAAATACCTTTAAAAGTCTGGCCCTTAGTCTCTGGGCCTCAGTTCCCTCTGTGTCGTCCTTCCATACCTCACAGGGGTGTTGTGAGGCGAAGTACATTGAGGTGTGAGGTGCTCAGTTACCAGGGTAATGGGGGCATGAGAAATATTTTAGATCCTGTTAAAATGGAAAAATACAAAATCAGAGGCTTATTACAAAGTCCAGTTGTTAAATATTCCTGGAGCCCCGGTGCAGGTTTTTAGGGCTAAAGCCGACCTTCCTCACAAAGTGCCTTTGTGGAAGGAGGATTTCAGTTAAGCATTATAGGTGGAGTTTTGGGTGTGACAGTTGCCTTACCTTGGGAATTCCTTGGATTTTAGTGCTTCTGATTTTGTAAGTAAATTTGAGCAACTAAATTTTTTGCAGGAGAGTTAAAACACCAAGGCTGTCCTTAGGAGTAGAACTGGAGAAGCATTTTTTTCTGTCCAGCAACTTGTCAGCTCCATGCAGTTACATAGCGATCCAGTCAGTATCTTTACTTCCACATACAGCGAGAGAAATAGAGGCAAATAAGATCCTTTATATAATGCCCTCTTCTGCTGTCTTGAGGAACCTAGATCTTATGCTGTTTGGTGCATGAACAGTCCATATATGGATAGAGTCTAACTGAAGGGGAGGACAGACAGCTGTTTCTGGTAAAGTTAGAAGTGGGCCGAAGCTCTGCTTGAATTTTGCCTTTTTCCTTCTACTTTCCCCCCTTGTGGTTTCAGTTGGGAAAGTAAGTGAAAAGAGCGAAGTATCCTCATAAGAGATGGAACTCTTCAAGGATTCTCTCAGAGCTGAAAGTAGGAAGCATTGGGACCGCTGTGGTGAGCAAGCCAGTTGCCAGGAGATTTTCCCATTTGGAAGGTCTGGGTAACTATCCAAACTGAATGCAACCTCTGAACGTGTCAAGTTTCATCCCAGACATTTTTTTTCTCTCCTGGCAAGCACTGGCGACTTTCAGTTACTCTTCTGACCCAAGTGAACAGGCACAAAAACAAGCTGGAAAGTTTCTTTTGTTACAGACTGTGAATGGTCTAGGGGAAGAAACCACTGTTCTGAGAGCACTGGTCGGGAAGAGGGGAATTGAAATATGTAGAGGACTCGGGTCACAACACTGATCCGTATGCTGGCTGAGGCTCTGACCTATGGTTTTTAATGAAAGACAAAGGAAGTCCCTTCCCAAGACAAATACACAGCTTACGAAGATCCTGCCCTGTGAAGCTTCTTTCCTTGGCACCTAAATGAAAGTGTCTTGGACTTCAGAGGTTCCGAGCATCCACAACTTCCAGTGATGTTCATGGGAGCTCTGAAAATTGTCATTTTTATTTAGACGATAACATTAAGTACCCAAGTTTGAAAATGTTACCCTAGGAACCTCTCCAGACAGGTCCTTTGACTATAACCACCTTCCCCTCTTCCGTTCTAAGAGGGGACGGGACAGCATCTATTATAGAACCATCCAGTCTTCATTTTTAACTAAGTTGAAAAGGTCAGCTTACCTGTTGAGCCCATCTTCCTTCTTCCATCCACTCCCAGGGGATGCACAAGAGCCAGCTGGACTTTGAATCAGGATCAGTTTTTTTTGTACCCTAGGAGCAAGATTTTTTTTGTACATCAGCCTTCATGTACCCTAGGAGCAAGATTTAGGTCACCTCTGTCTGAGCTGTCCACATTCCACAGGATTCTGGTGTGTGTAGAAAACGTGGCAGGACATTTCAGGAGGGAAGAGGGTTTACACCTTCTTAAGGGGTAAAAATCCTCATTTATCTTCAAAGCTGAAAATTCATTCCCTGTTTTACCCCCAGTCATGTGTTTGCGCTTTATATCATGGCAAAAACCTCTTGATTGTGTAAGAGAGAAAATATGGTATTTTTCCAGCATGGGACTATCCATAAACAAGTCAGATACATGTTATGGCAAGTGGCACATACCGTCGGCCAACATTTAATTTTTGCTTGCAGGAGCTGCCAGAAAAATGGAACAACATAAAGAAGCTGGCGATAACTGTGAAACAGCAAGTGGCTTCTTTGCAGGCAAATGAAGTGACAGTTATTCGCAAGAACTGTGCAGCATTTGATGTGGAACAGCAGAAATTCAGAGAGAGATTTCGCAAAGAAGCACCATTGAGGTACAGACTAATTATAGCACCACAGAAATAAGGGAGAAAAGGGCTTACTAGATCATTTGTGCTCTGCTAGGCATATTGTCTAACATCCACTTATCTTTTCCAATTGGTCAGAAGGCCAGGTATAATATCTGATATAGCATTTTTCTGGGGTTTCTATGCTGTAGTGGGTAGGGAGTGGATTCAGCGAGAGTAGGGTTAAAATTTTCAAAAGTGCCTAAGTCCCATTTTCAAAAGTGGCTTAGGTGCATGGGAGCTTAAGAGTGACCAAAAGTGTCTAAGGCCCAGATTTGTAAAGCTCTTTGGGTGCCTCACTCCCACTGATTTCCCTGGGAGATAGGTCCAGGTTGTAAGAAGTATCTGAGTACCTAAGTCTCTTTTGAAAGTGGGACTTAGGATTTCAAGTGACTTAGGCACTTTTGAAATTTTTGCATTGGGTCTTTTATGTGTCTAACTATAACCACCCTAAAATGGCCAAACCCTTCTCTTAGTCCCATGATTCCAGGATTGTGCATAGACAATAACCCAGGACAAAGAACCATTCCATGCATCCACAGGACTCAGAGTCCAGAGCTGCCATCAGAGAGTTGCAGGATGGAAGAGCATTCTAGGTACAGATTTGCAACTGATCAGTGTTAAATACCTGGGGTTGCCAGTGTCACCAGCGTAACCTGTTTATCACAATGGTTTTGATGTTGTGCTGACATGTCACAACACAGTATTGTCATGCTATGTCAGAGTATCATAGAATCATAGAAATGTACGGTTGAAAGGGACCTTGAGAGGTCATCTAGTCCATTCCCTTCACTGAGGCAGGACCACCAAAGGCTCTGAAGCAAGGTAAACTGTCATGGGATAAGAGGGAAGGTCCTCTCATGGATCAATAACTGGTTAAAAGATGGGAGACAAAGGATAGGAATAAATGGTCAGTTTTCAGAAAGGAGTGAGTTAAACAGTGGGGTCCCTCCAAGGATCTGTATTGAGACTTGTGCTGTTCAACGTATTCATAAATGATGTGGAAAAGGGAGTGAACAGTGAAGTGCAAAGTTTGTAGATGATACAAAATTCTTCAAGACAATTAAGTCCAACGCTGACTGCAGAGAGTTAATAATCTGTTTTCCAAGCTGAACAGTCCCAGTCTTTTTAATCTCCCCATATATGGAAGCTGTTCCATACCCATAATCATTTTTGTTGCCCTTCTCCAATTCTAATATATCTTTTTGAGATGGGGCAGCTAGAACTGCATGCAGTATTCAAGGTGTGGGAGTACTGTGGATTTATATTGTGGCATTATATTTTCTGTCTTATTATATACCTCTTTCCTAATGGTTCCTAACATTTTGTTAGCTTTTCTGACTGCTGCTGCACATTGAACAGATGTTTTCAGAGAACTATCCATGATGACTCCAAGTTCTTTTTCTTGAGTGATAACAGCCAATTTAGACCCCAGCATTTTGTTTGTATTGTTGGGATTATTTTTTTCCAGTATGCATTACTTTGCATTTACTGTATCAACATTGAATTTCATCTCCCATTTTCTTGCCCCATCACCTAGTTTCGTGAGATCCCATTGCAGCTGTTCAAAGTCAGCTTTGACTTAATTAGTTTGGGTAATTTTGTATCATCTGCAAACTTTGTCACCTCACTATTTACCCCTTTTTCCAGATCATTTATGAATACGTTGAACAGAACTGGTCCCAGTACAGATCCTTGGGGGGACACCGTTATTTACCTCTCTCCGCTGTGAAAACTGTCCACTTATTCCTACCCTTTGTTTCCTGTCTTTTAACCAATTACTGATCCATAAGAGGACCTTCCTTCTTATCCCATGACTGACTCCTTACTTTGCTTAAGAGCCTTTGGTGAGGGACTTTGTCAAAGGCTTTCTGAAAGTCCAAGTACATTGTATCAACTAGATCTATTTTGTTCACATGTTTGTTGACACCCTCAAAGAATTCTAATAGATTGTGAGGCATGATTTCCCTTTACAAAAGTTGTACTATAGTTACAACCAACTTGCCTAGTATTGAAGTTAGGCTTATAGGCTTGTAATTGCCAGGATTGCCTCTGGAGTCTTTTAAAAAAAAATTGGCGTGACATTAGCTATCCACCAGTCATCTGGTACAGAGGCCGATTTAAGCGATAGTTACAATGGTATGGAAAAAGTGGATACAGAAGAATTATTTACCCTTTCCCATAATATAAAAAATGGGTCACCTAATGAAATTAATAGGTAGCAAGTTTAATACAAACGAGGAAATATTTTTTCACACAATATACAATTAACCTGTGGAGCTCATTGCCATGGGATGTGAAGGCCAAAAATATAACTGGGTTCAAAAAAGAATTTTTGACAAGTTCACAGAGGATGGGTCTTTCAATGGCTATTGGCCAAGATGGTCAGGATTGTAACATTGTGCTTGAAGTGAACCTAAACCTCAGACTTCCAGAAACCAGGAAGGTAAGACAGAGATGAGTGTCTTCAAAATTGCCCTGTTCTGTACACTTCCCCTGAAGCTCTGGTACTGACCACTGTTGGAGACAGGATACTGGGCTAGATGGACCATTGGTCTGACCCAGTATGGCTATTCTTATGACCCAGCATATCTAGACCATCCCTGACAGGTGTTTGTCTCACCTATTCTTAAAAAACCTCTAGTGATGGGGATACCACAACATCACTTGGTAACCTATTCCAGTACATAACCATCCTTAGAGTTGGAACGTTTTACCTAATATCTAACCTAAATCTTCCTTGCTGCACAAATTCAGCTGATTACTACTTGTCCTATCTTCAGTGGACAGAGATACCATCACTGTCCTCTTTATAATAGCCCTTAACATATGTGAAGGCTGTTATGTCCCCCTTCAGTCTTCTTTTCTCAAGACTAAACTTGCCCGGTTTTTTAACCTTCCCTCATGGATCAGGGTTTCTAAATATTTTATTATTTTTTGTGCTCTCCTTTGTGCTCTCTCGGATTTGTCAATATCTTTGTTAAAGTGTGGTGCCCTAAACTGGACACAGTACTCCACTGATTCCCAAACCTGAGCTGGCTTTTGTAGGTGACAAATCTGAGGAACTGTCACGGATTGAAGTGTCACAAGAGGAGGTTTTGGAATTAATTGATAAACTTAACTTTAACAAGTCACCGGGACCAGATGGCATTCATCTGAAGAGTTCTGAAAGAACTCAAATGTGAAGTTGCGGAACTGTTAACTAAGGTTTGTAACCTGTCCTTTAAATCGGCTTCTGTACCCAATGACTGAAAGTTAGCTAATGTAACGCCAATATTTAAAAAGGGCTCTAGAGGTGATCCCGGCAATTACAGACCGGTAAGTCTAACGTCTGTACCAGGCAAATTAGTCGAAACAATAGTTAAGAATAAAATTGTCCGACACATAGAAAAACATAAACTGTTGAGCAATAGTCAACATGGTTTCTGTAAAGGGAAATCGTGTCTTACTAATCTATTAGAATTCTTTGAAGGGGTCAACAAACATGTGGACAAGGGGGATCCAGTGGACATAGTGTACTTAGATTTCCAGAAAGCCTTTGACAAGGTCCCTCACCAAAGGCTCTTATGTAAATTAAGCTGGCATGGGATAAAAGGGAAGGTCCTTTCATGGATTGAGAACTGGTTAAAAGACAGGGAACAAAGGGTAGGAATTAATGGTAAATTCTCAGAATGGAGAGGGGTGTTCCCCAAGGGTCAGTTCTCGGACCAATCCTATTCAACTTATTCATAAATGATCTGGAGAAAGGGGTAAACAGTGAGGTGGCAAAGTTTGCAGATGATACTAAACTGCTCAAGATAGTTAAGACCAAAGCAGACTATGAAGAACTTCAAAAAGATCTCACAAAACTAAGTGATTGGGCAACAAAATGGCAAATGAAATTTAACGTGGATATATGTAAAGTAATGCACATTGGAAAAAATAACCCCAACTATACATACAATATGATGGGGGCTAATTTAGCTACAACAAGTCAGAAAAAAGATCTTGGAGTCATCGTGGATAGTTCTCTGAATGTCCACGCAGTGTGCAGAGGTGGTCAAAAAAGCAAACAGGATGTTAGGAATCATTAAAAAGGGGATAGAGAATAAGACTGAGAATATATTATTGCCCTTATATAAATCGATGGTACGCCCTCATCTCGAATACTGCGTACAGATGTGGTCTCCTCATCTCAAAAAAGATATACTTGCACTAGAAAAGGTTCAGAAAAGGGCAACTAAAATGATTAAGGGTTTGGAACGGGTCCCATATAAGGAGAGATTAAAGAGGCTAGGACTCTTCAGCTTGGAAAAGAGGAGACTAAGGCGGGATATGATAGAGGTATATAAAATCATGAGTGATGTGGAGAAAGTGGATAAGGAAAAGTTATTTACTTATTCCCATAATACAAGAACTAGGGGTCATCAAATGAAATTAATAGGCAGCAGGTTTAAAACAAATAAAAGGAAGTTCTTCTTCATGCAGCGCACAGTCAACTTGTGGAGCTCCTTACCTGAGGAGGTTGTGAAGGCTAGGACTATAACAGAGTTTAAAAGAGAACTAGATAAATTCATGGTGGTTAAGTCCATTAATGGCTATTAGCCAGGATGGGTAAGGAATGATGTCCCTAGCCTCTGTCTGTCAGAGGGTGGAGATGGATGGCAGGAGAGAGATCACTTGATCATTGCCTGTTAGGTTCACTCCCTCTGGGGCACCTGGCATTGGCCACTGTCGGTAGATAGGATACTGGGCTAGATGGACCTTTGGTCTGACCCGGTACGGCCTTTCTTATGTTCTTATGTTTATATCCAGAGGCCTACTTGACCAGAAACACAAAGGCTTATGAATGGAACTGCTCTTAGAAACCTCGTGTAAACGAATGAAAGAGAGTTCCCTTTGAGTTGTGTTCTCCCTCCTCAGTGAAAGTGACTCTCCTTTAAAGTGCACTACTTTGCACTCATGTAGCAGTGTGATAAAATACATTCATAAAATCCCCCCTGCGCACATGAGAGAGGAATAACTTTACCCCACTGAACTGGGCTCCCTTGCAAGCTTCTGTAAATGTCACTCTCTGGAGGTTGGGGTAGAATCAAGCTGCATTGACTAGATCGGCTGTAATGGCCCTTGAGTGGGTGAGCCACTTAGCTTTTTGAGTTGTCTTGCCATTAGCTCGTACCTCAGGCTGACAGCGAGCGTGTGAATCTGGGGCACAAAGAGGAAAAAATGGTTTTTTGTTTCCTTTTTAAAAGTATCAGTGTTTCTGACAATTTTACCTCCCATTTAGCCATTATTTAACATGTAACTCCATTTTAGCAGAGACTACAGGCAGAAAGATGACTATGCTCTGAAGAAAAGAATGAGGGTACAAATGGGACTTTAAAATGGCATCAGTTCTGCAATGTGGAATAACCATTAGAGCATACTAGAGCTGTGTTGTCTTGACTGTCTCTTGTACAAGCAGCTTTGCATTATATTTTATTTGAAGTGTTTATAATCTTACTTATGAAGAATGAAAATTGCTTTATAGGTTTGACACTGAAAATCCTTACCTAATGCTGGATGCAAACCACATTGAGATAAAACAAATGGAGTCAACCATGGCCTCACTTTATGAATCAGCTGGTTTGTTTGAAGTCAATGTTCCAGATTATAAACAGCTAAAGCAATGCAGGAAGGAAGTTTGTCTTCTCAAGGAACTCTGGGATATGATCTCTGTGGTGACATCTAGCATGAATGACTGGCAGACCACGAAATGGAAGGATATTAATGTGGAAAACATGGACCTTGAATGCAAAAAGTTTGCAAAGGATATTCGGAACCTGGATAAAGAAATGAGGGTGTGGGATGCATTCGCTGGGCTGGACAACAGGGTGAAGAACATCCTGACATCTCTGAGGGCTGTGGCGGAGCTTCAGAATCCCGCCATCAGGGAAAGGCACTGGAACCAGTTGATGCAGGCAACAGGTGTGACATTCACCATGGACGCAGACACCACACTGGCTGACCTCCTGACACTCAACCTGCATAACTTTGAGGATGAGGTTCGGGGCATAGTGGATAAAGCAGTTAAGGAAATGAGCATGGAAAAAGTCTTGAAAGAGCTAAAAAGCACTTGGAGCAGCATGGAATTCCAGTATGAACTGCATCCCCGGACAAACATCCCCCTGCTGAAATCTGATGAGGAGCTCATTGAAACTTTAGAAGACAACCAGGTGCAGCTGCAGAATCTGATGACATCCAAGTATATTGCCTTCTTCTTAGAGGAAGTATCCGGATGGCAAAAGAAGCTGTCCACAGCAGACTCAATCATTTCTATCTGGTTTGAAGTGCAGCGGACATGGACTCACCTGGAGAGCATATTCATTGGCTCAGAAGATATCCGGGCGCAGCTTCCCGAGGTACACAGCAGAACGACAGAAGTCATGTTCTCCTCAGTCAGAAAGGAATGCAGGACAACCTCCATTATCCCAACCAAAGCTGTCTGAAATGCAACGAATCCTTTGATGGCTACTTGTCACACTGGAAATTCCCTTAGTTTCCTGGGCTTATTCAGCATCCCCAGGACATTTGGATAAAGGAGGTTGTGCTTTGTCTCTTTCTTGGGTTGTCCCAGGAGGCTGAAAGCCCTCACTGATCTCCCCTCTCCCCTGTATGCAGCACATACAGCGTTTGTTATTGTAGGGATGCATGTGAGTGTAGGGCTGCTGGCATTGTTTATTGTAGGAAACACATTGGCCTGGTTGTGCTGGCAGAGGAAATACAGATCATTGCGTGGACTTTATATTTGCAAAGTGTGGGCCAACCAGCTCTGACCGTATCCCTGTAAAAGTGTTTAACAGAGAGCTGGTCCAGTCATTCCACTGCTCTTCTCTGAAAAGCAGAACAAATTCATTATATCAGGATTTCACTCTCCTTTGGTGGCCTGTAGAGGAAAATCCAAACTACTATTGGTTTCCTTTCCTATTATTAATTCGCGTAAATGCAGGTATATGGGGAAATATCCAGGATCCACCCCAGGTTCCAGCCGAACTGCACACCCCCAGTGTAGAAAATCTAGAGCTCGGCTCTGTGTGTGCCAATGTGTCAGGGTGTAAAGTTCACCTTTGCACTCTGCTAGACTGGTTTCTGTGTACAGGGCCAGTCCCCTGTTATAAGCGTGAGCAGCCCTGAGCATTGCTCTGACTTACACCAGCTGCCAACAGACACGGGGGGTTGAAACCACAATCGAGGGTGAGAGCACATTGGCCGGGGTGGGATGTCTGTATGGCGCTTGCTGTACTTGCTCTGTGCAGACAGCCTCCGTTCAGGCCCTTTTCACCAGCATTAAAGGCAAATAAATGCTTTTGGTTTTGTTTACAAAGAAAGCTCTGAACATTTCATTGAGTGGTTGGGGTGGAATCCTGCCCCCTTTGAAGTCCAGGGGTGGTTGTGGTTCACCATTGACTTCAGTGAGGCCAGGATTTTGAATGTGGCTTTATTTATTCTTCGCTGAAGTGCACTAGAAGCACATGAGCCTTGCTAAGGGGAGAACTTCTCTGTAAGCGAAGTGGGAGTGCTCATGGGGGACTAGATCGCTTCACTCTTCACCAGAGGCTGAGAAATGACTATCCTGGGCTGGAAGCAAAGTCTCATGAGGTCTGTTGTCTATCATGGTGCATGGCACTAACTATGCAGAATAGGCAAATCCTGCCTCTGTGGCCAGGGAAACATGGATGGATTCCAGGGTCTACTTGAGGGGAGGTCAGGTCCTCAGGAACCCCTTGCACAGGAAATAGGCCATACTGGGGATCAGCCACTAACTGGATCCTTCCATCTGCACCCTTCCAAGGTGGGGTGGGGGGAATGTAATGGGTCATAGTGCCTGCTCCAGTCATTGGGATGGAGGAGCCTCTATGAAATGGTGCCAAGGCCTGTCTGTGGGATTCCTCCTACCCAGCACCTGCCCTGGCTGCTGGGGTGGGGCTGTAGCCAGACGATGGAGTCTTTTCAGTAAAGAAATGAGTGTTTGACTGGGTGGCTGTAGCTTCTCTCTTGCTATTTGTAGGACTCCAAGCGCTTTGAAGGAATTGATGTTGATTTTAAAGAACTGGCCTATGATGCGGAGAAAACACCGAATGTCGTTGAGGCTACTAACAAGCCAGGTCTTTATGAACAACTGGAGGATATTCAGAGCAGGTGAGTGACACTTTGGGGACTTTGAGGGACACTGCAATTAGCTGCGATAAGTTTACTTACTGTGTTTTCAGATCTTTCTACTGGGCGGTGGTGGCCGTCTCTGTTCAGCCAGTCACAACAACACTAAACGTTATTTAGACTTTGTGTTTGTGATCCACCAATCTGTAACCCAACACCTGTTATCGCAATGTTCAGGCTGAGAAGTTCTGTATACAGAAGTCCAGACACTCAAAACATAAGGTGCTGAGTGCAACGTGAGCTCACCGACCTCACATGTAGATTGTGTCTATATAGAGCAGTGTGAAAAGTCCTAAAAAATACAAACCATTTGCAGCATAGCTGCGTCAATGTTCTTTTGAGACCTTTAACTATGGTGTGTTTAAATTCAGCCCTTCAGTGCTGCAGAGATAGCCTTGCCCCATGACACTGCTAGGTACTCAGAGGAATGCCCTGTTGCACTGAGGCAGATAAATAAACACTTTTCAGTTACTATGTTTGCTAATTTGACTGGGAAGTGCACATTAAAAACTCACTGTGAAGGCTGTTTTGGTCAGTAATATTCCACTACTAATAACATTGTTAATTTAAAACAAACCTCTCAGTTGTACCAGGCCCATATTCCTCACTGAGGAGTAGTTAAGTGCTGTCTGTGAAATTTATAATTTTAGCCATTTTTAGTTTTGTGTGCAAAAAAGTCACAAGATTTAAATTGGAAGTTTGGGATCTCATAAACTCAAACAGCTGAACAGAATTAGGTCAGACCAAGCTTGAGAAATTTCATCCCAACATGAACATGGTTGTGGGAGTTGTGGGTAGTTACAAAAGGCTGGGTCAGACTGCAGGAGTCTTCTCAACTTATCTCTCTGAGGGCTTTATACTTTTGCCCATCACCATAGTATCTGGGCACCTTCCACATAAAATCAATAACACTGGATATGTCCTTAGTGAAGTGCCTGGAGTCTGTAGCCATGTCTATGCTACAGCCACCCCAGTGGCAGAGCTACAGCACTCCTGCTGTACCGCGATAGTGAGATGCTTCGTGCATCGACAGAAGGGGTTTTTCCGTCGACATAGATAATCCACTTGTCCTACAGGTGGTAGCTAGGTCAACGGAAGAATCTTTCCTTGACCAAGGTCTATCCCGGGGGTTAGGTTGTCCTAACGATGGCACTAAGTGTGCAAAATTTTTCTCAGTCCTGAGTGATGTAGCTAGGGCAACGTAAATTTTAGGTGTAGACAAGGCCTCTGTCACTTCTTACTTTTTGGGGTCAAAACTCTGCTTCTGAACGTGAACTGCAATATTAGGTGCTAAGGAGAATATGTGTCTGTTGATTCTGGACTTCGTATCTCTGCTTTGTTGCCCCAGATTGGCTCTGTGTGAGAAGGCCTTGGCTGAATACTTGGACACCAAGAGGTTGGCCTTTCCCAGATTTTACTTCATTTCTTCTGCGGATTTACTGGACATTCTTTCCAATGGCACCAACCCGCAGCTAGTAAGTCTCACACATTACTGCCTTTGCCTTTGAACAGTGGAGTGGCGGATAGACTGACAAACCCAGAACATGCCTGTAGCTTGTTCTAGAAAGTATTGTTTCTATAGATTTCAGAGTGGTAGCTGTGTTAGTCTGTATCAGTAAAAACAACAAGGAGTCCTTGTGGCACCTTAGAGACTAACAAATTTATTTGGGCATAATCTTTCGTGGGATATAACCAACTTCATCAGATGCATGGATTGGAAAATACAGTAAGCATGTATAAATATACCGCACATAAAAAGATGGGAGTTGCCTTACCAAGTGGGGGATCAGTGCTAACGAGGCCAATTCAATTAGGGTGGATGTGGCCCATTCCCAGCAGTTGACAAGAAGGTGTGAGTATCAACAGAGGGAAAATTATTTTTTGTAGTGACCCAGCCACTCCCAATCTTTATTCAGGCCTAATTTGATGACTAGTGGTGTTCTGTCAGCAAGAAGGGTACCCAGAAGTCACCTGCTACAGGACAGGTCCAACAAAGAAAGTAACAGAACACCACTAGTCATCACCTACAGCCCCCAACTAAAACCTCTCCAGCGCATCATCAAGGATCTACAATCTATCCTGAAGGACGATCCCTCACTCTCACAGACCTTGGGAGACAGGCCAGTCCTCGCTTACAGACAGCCCCCCAACCTGAAGCAAATACTCACAAGCAACTACACACCACACAACAGAAACACTAACCCAGGAACCAACCCCTGCAACAAACCCCATTGCCAACTCTGTCCGCATATCATTCTAGCGACACCATCGGAGGACCCAAACACATCAGCCACACCATCAAGGGCTTGTTCACCTGCACATCTACCAATGTGATATATGCCATTGTGTGCCAGCAATGCCCCTCTGCCATGTACATTGGCCAAACCAGACAGTCTCTATGCAAAAGAATAAATGGACACAAATCAGATATCAAGAATTGTAACATTCAAAAACCAGTAGGAGAGCACTTCAGTCTCCCTGGACCACTCTGAAACCTGTCAATCTCCCTCGATATTTAATAACAGACTTAAAAGTCGCCATTCTTCAACAAAAAAACTTCAAAAACAGACTTCAACGAGAAACTGCAGAACTGGAATTAATTTGCAAACTTGACACCATCAAATTAGGCCTGAATAAAGACTGGGAGTGGCTGGGTCACTACAAAAATAATTTTCCCTCTGTTGATACACCTTCTTGTTAACTGTTGAGAATAGGCCATATCTTTTCATGTGCTGTATATTTATATATGCTTACTGTATTTTCCAATCCATGCATCTGATGAAGTGGGTTATATCCCACGAAAGCTTATGCCCAAATAAATTTGTTAGTCTCTAAGGTGCCACAAGGACGACTAGTTGTTTTTAATTTCTATAGTTATTAGTATATAACTTTCCACTAGATGGCAGTATGTACATCATATTCTCATCTCTAAGTGTTGGGAAACATTACGGATTGTTCTAATAATGCTCCTTTAAGTCTGATTAGTGTATGTTTTTGACAGTGTACGAGGGACGGACTTTGTGCTCGGAGGCTCTGAGGTTTGAAGGAACATATTTTCTCTAAAGATCTCAGCAAAAGCTTGCAACAATGACTGGGGAATTTGGATGGCTCAGTTTTGGGCCATTTTCAGAAAACGCCAAGCACCTGCCCTTGAAAGAGTCTCAAGTTGGGCACCCAAAGATTGAGGCACCTAAAATAACTAATTATTTCAGAAGGCTCCATCTTGCAGAATTCTCACCCTGGGTTTGGACGCCTTAGTGTGAGACTGGTGGCAATCCTGTTGCTCTTGCGTTGTTTGATCCTGTAGAGGAGAAGGGACAATTTAGGCCCCTGGAGACACCACACTATGTGCCACCCTTGCTGCCCTACTCAGAGTGCTTCAAAGGGGAAATCCTCAAATCTAAATCTGAGTCAGCCTTGATCTCTGAGCACGGAGCTCAGTCATAGCAATGCCTGTGCCAGGCAGGGCTCCATCCAGTGGAAATCAAGGCCCCTCCTAATTGATGGCTCCTCAATGTCCTTGGCATCTGAAGTTGATGGCAATGATCTCTGGCTCCGGATGGGCTGGAGTCTCCACACAGGAGACAGGACCAAGGCAGGAGGTGCCAAGAGGGAAGGGGCAGACTGATGATGGCTCAAGTTATCTGGAGAGCTCCTCTGAGGCCAAATGCATCTCGACTCCAGAGAAGCATCAGCACAGTGACTGCAGGGCATGGGAGGACCTGACCTTTCCCCAGTCCCCACCAAAGGTGCCCCAGACAGCTGATGCTGTCATTATCATTCCTTGTTTTGTGCTGTACTAGTGCCATTGTGCTGGGCACTGCGCACACGCGGAGTACAGGATGGTCCCAGCTCTGAAGAGCTTACTTTGTAAGTACAATCAACATTTCCAGTTAGACCTGCTCCAGGGATTCACAAGCAGTGCCTAATTTGTGCCAGGGCACCTTTAGGCTTGGCAGTTCATACTTCCGGCACCTCTGGGCTGGCTGCATCAGTTATGATTGTAAAAAAAAAATTGCTTGAGCCCTGGCACCTCTTTCACTACACATTAAGCACTGTTTGTAGGATCAACAGTTAAGAGGTACCTGGGCCAGGAAACCCATCCAGCAAGGTTGCGCTGTTCTTTTACACCTTTCTGGACTAGCTGCTGGTGCAGGTATGGCAGGCCCCTCCTCACATTGTTGCCTCAGTCTTGACTTTTCTTTCTAGAAGCCCTGCCTTTGCACAGTCAAAGGGCTGGCAGGAATGAATGGAGGCCAGCAGTATACTCAAGACATGTTGGCATGCCATGTTCAATGGGGGGCCTGGCCTGCACTCTACCCCCACTGCCTGCAAGGATAACAAAAAAGTGAATACTTAGGGGATTCCCAACAGTTGGGCTCTGAGGAGCTGGGAGCCAGGACTGAGAAACTTGGCAGGATGCTCTCTTCAGAGAAGCAGGCTTGCAACACAAGCAGCGTTCCCATTTGAACTCATTTGACCTTCCATGGAGAATGTATTTTCTCAGTGTGGGATAGCATTAAGCAGCAGCTCTTGAGAAGGGTTTTTCATGCTGACAAGGATGCACTGGGGCGGTTTGGCCAATTATGCTTCTGGATGGAGCTGATAGTGAGAAAAAGGTGCAGAGGTTGTGGTGGTTGTGATTGAAAATGAAACAAAACCTGTATTTGAAAGGCCAAGCTTGTAAATGGATGTGTATTTATGAGGGGATATGGCTGACAGTGGTTGGCAGATTCTAGGGCAAGAGTGTTCTCTGTGGCATATTTCAGTTTGAACAAGAATCCCAATAATCTCTGCTCCATGAATGACGACACTGAATAGAAAGTAGTGCACATGCAGCAGGTGTTTCTCCCTTGCAGGCAGCCACAGAAGACCCATTACACACAATGGAGAACAGTATGAACTGTAAAATATGGGCCATCCAGGGGTTCAATCAAATGATGACCCTAGCTAAAGCAAATGCAGATCAAGCTCTAGTGAGTTACAGTTCTTGTGTATGCAGACCTAGGTTAATAGAATGGATGTGTCACTGTCAGGGACATCAGTTCTGGAGGTTCTAAGTCAGAAATGCCTCTTCCAGAAGCAGTATTTCTAGGGACTCGCCAATGCAATCAAGTCATTCTAAAGGTACTGCGACAAGGAATGACATCCACATGATTGACTGGACTATGGGATGGGGTGGGAAGGAACTGCACTATACATAATGTTGCAACAATATTTCTGTTTAAAGAAATTCCCTTAACTGCATTTCCTGGCGTTCCTAGGTTTTGTTTCCGTTTCCTTTTCCTGTCCCCAGCAGGGAAGAGTTGTATGGAAGGCATTGTATAGGTGTTGTCAGGGTGCGTTGTATGGGAGGCATTGTTACAGTCTGTGCTTTGGAATCCCCATGTTCTGGAAGTGTGTAGTTAGAAGTTCTGTAGAAAAATCTCAGCTTCACCTTAGCTCTGTTTTTCATTAGTGAATATACCACCAATGTAGGTGAGGTTGGTTATTACTATTATAGGAGTTTGTCATCATTGTAATACCTGGATGTCTATACCATGACACAGCTAAGTCAGAGCGCCTGGCAGGCACAGCGGGATATTGGTGGGATAGCTGTGTGCACCCAAGGTATGTCTACACTGAAGCTGGAGGTGTCATTTCCAGCTCACGTAGGTGTACACGTGCTAGCTCTGATTGCACCAGCACTGTAAAACTAGCTGGGTAGCCGTGGTGGTGCGGGTGGCAGGACGGGGTAGTGCCTGAATATGAACCTAGCGTCTCGGATGGGAATCATACTCAAGTGGCTAGACCCACTTATGCCTCTGCAACTGCGTTGCTATTGTTAGTGTGCTAGCTCTGTCAGAGCTAGCCTGTGTACATCTACATGAGCGGAAACGTAACCATCTAGTTCCAGTGTAAACATACCTCCCGTCAGTTGGGAAGCTCCAGCTAAACCCATTTTCTTTAGCAATTGAATAACAGGGCTGTGCTGCCATGTTCTGATTCATCTTGAAATTGGTTTGTAAAATTGACAGACGTTTTCATAGTGAATGCTGAGCTTTACTCAATCCAGAATCAATTAGCATTTCTATTTTTTTGTTAGCTAGTGGTGAATCTCTTCCAATTAAGAAACCTTTCAGATAAGGAGATATAGGATTATATGAAGTTCAGGTTAGTCAGGGCTCAGTGCATATATAGAAATGCCATTATTTTCTGCTAACACATAATATTTCTTATAGTTTCTCTGTGGTCCTTGGTTTTTTCAACCCTTGAAACCTCACAGTTGTGCATTTGATCAATACCACAAACACAGGGGGGGAAAAAACAGGAGACACACAGAAAAAATACCACCTTGAAATGCCCAGTGGTATATGAAGGAATTCTGTGAGCAGAACTGTTTACAATAAAATCAAGTAAATATCAAGGAGGATCAAATATGGATAAACTCTTGACCTTTCCATTGTAGTCTCTGAGCCTGTCTGATCATTCCTAACAGAGGATTAAATGCACAACAATATTATCATAGCAGATCTGGCATTGAACTTGTAAAGATTCAGGTATATCCAAGGTTTTTCTGGTGGTGTTGAACTGAGTGTCAGAATGTTTTATAGAGAATCTGTCTAGACTGGCAAGGCGTAGGAATCTGATTGGATGATTCGCTAAGAGGAAAGTTCTGCACATTAAATAAATCACAGAAACCTTTTCTTAAGATCATGAAAGCCAAGGGGCCAATCCTGCCATGTGCTAAGTGCCAATTGCAGCCCATTACCTTCCAGGATTGGGCCCAGTATGAATGTAAGTGGAACCAAACAGCAAAAAATATTAATAATAAAGGTCTGTCTCTGCAATGCTGCTTGAAAAGTTTTTAATCCTTTCTCTTTCTGAGTCAGTGACCTGTGATAGACTGAAGACATTCATTTGTTTTATATGGTTTTCTAGACAGTCAGTGCTTGTAGCAGAGGACTGGGTGCCTTAGGATGGGGGTTCTCAACCTTTCCATCTTACTGTGATTTAGCAGAGAGCCCCTCTCCTGTAGCAATTGGGGGAGGGCAGGTCTGAGTGACCAGCCGGACATCAGTTCATGACTTCCATGGTGGTGTGACCCCAGGTTGAGAACACATGTCTTGGGGGGAGGTTACTGAGGCTTTACTTCTGGTATTAGTTTGCTTGTAACCCAGGTTGGTCAGTGACTAAAATTTGTATTGTCTGAAGGCTGGAAAAAGCTCTGGTGGTCTGTTCATCTTCCAGCAGAAAGCTGTTCATGTTGAAAAAACCCTCCCGAGCAATTCTAACTAATTGCTCCTTTTGAGCCCCTGAGTTGACCAAGCTTTGAACAGGCCATGGAGTCTGATTTGGTCTTTCACTCGTAGAGGTGATCCTTCTAGGGCAAGGTGGAGGCATCGTGGTGGGTTCACTGCTGCTCTTCATAGTGTTCCTTTGCTGGGGAAGAGCAGAGGCCTTCAGTCTCCAAGGCTGAGCACCTTTCACCAGCACAAAACTGACTTCCAGTAACAACTCTTTTGGTCCACAGGCTGAGATAGCTGGGTTCTCAATACTTCCCCAGCAATGCTCAGTAAAAACCTAGAGCACTCTTGAGTGTAGGACTACATAGGTTCCTCACCATCGCTCTACCATCATTGTACATTGGGAGGCTGACCTGCGACTGATCACTTAATGTTCTGAATGTTTGCTATGTGTGTGTGTGCACGTGTGTGTACGTAGGGATGTGGGTCTGTTTGTGCTGTACAAAAGGTACCCTATCAATATTAACTGCAACATAAAGAATAAAATGTATCATTATTACTAGAGTATTGCCATTGAAAGGTATTTCTGTTTTCTAAGTGAAGAAGAAGAAGTAGATGGTGCTTGTGTCTGTTCTAGAGCTACAGAGTTAGTCCTGCTGTGTCAGAAGGATATGACCAGCCCATCGTATGATAGGTCTGGCCAAAGAGGGATGAGAGGAGAGCGAACTTTTCGGAGCCTGACTGATGAGGGAGCTGCCCTGCTGATGAGCACACACAGATCCTCCCACCTAAATGACCTCTCTACTACCATTCCCTGTGCAGGTGCAGCGCCATCTCGCTAAGCTGTTTGACAACATGTCCAAGATGAAATTCCAGCTGGACTCTGAGCAAAAGCCGACCAAAACTGGCCTGGGGATGTACAGTAAAGAGGAGGAATATGTCAGCTTCAGTGAGCCCTGTGACTGTAGCGGGCAGGTGAGATGAAGCTGCTTCATTTCCTATCATAAGAATTAGATTGTGGCTGGTGCTTTTATCCCTGTTAGTTTTTGTAGTGCCTAGGAATCCCCAGTCGTGGCCCAGGGCCACATTGCACTGGTGCTATACAGGCGCAGAACACAACATTGGTCCCTGCCCCAGAGACCTTACAATTTATGCATCAGACAAGAGACAACGATGGAGACAGACAGACGGGAGTACAAGGAAACGATGAGATGGCCTGTCTGACCCAGGCTGCCAGCAGAGCTATCATTAAAGAGTGGTAATGGTCAGAAAAAGTGCTGTATAAAAATGGCACCTCCCTACTGTACAGGTCTCCCCTCTTTGTGTCGTTTGAGTCCTGTCTGCCCATGGTAGTGACAATGGTGGTTTTTTTCCTCTTGGTCTCTGTCAAGCACTGAAGGGTCAAGTAAAACTAAACCTGGCAAAATGTAAACTGAAAACCAAGGGTTTTTTTGGCGGGGGGGGTGGGGAGGGCAGGGGTGTTTGTTGGGAAAAAAGACACAATTTTGGGGAAAAAATCCACAGGCAGTTCCATTAAAGCCGTTTGTTAACTGTGATTTTTTTTTTCATTTGAAACCTTTTGACCAGCTCTAATTTTGGCCTTAGAATTCAGCACAGAATGATACTTTGTATCTCAACATACACTGAATTCCCAGAGAGCCAGCCTGGGGAGAGAGCTTCTGCTGTGATTCATTCATCACAGCGAGAATTCCACCCCACGTCCAGCACTGACCTTGTGCGAGTGCTGGCAGATTGTGCCCAAGTCACATGTGTGATTCTCCTCATGGCCTTGGGGATGGAAGATATTGAAGCAAATTACCCACCAGTGGAGTTCCGAATAGTGCTGCTGCAGTTGGAGATCTAGCAAAGTCACTATTGCGTTACAAGTGTTGATTTAATGCCAGCTAGAATCCTATGAACACATGCAAAGGCTAAGACACAAGTCTCAGCTCAGTAGCCCTGGGCCTAGGACCAATGGGGGGGGTGTTTAATATTCAGTTAAAGGACATTAATACAGTCCCATATATTTACCTATTGCACAAAGTTCCTCAGTGGACGAGACGTGTCACTGTGTTTCAATACCTTTGCTAGGTTGAAATTTGGCTGAATCATGTGCTGGACAGCATGAGGGCTACCGTAAGACATGAGATGACAGAAGGAGTGACTGCTTATGAAGAGAAACCAAGAGAACAGTGGCTCTTTGACTACCCTGCCCAGGTATTTCATTACATCACACTTGTCTCCTCTTCGACTGGCCCTCTAGAGAAAGCAGCTCTCAGTTTAGCCTCTTGGGTCACTATGCAAGTACAAGGCCTCTAGCCAGTCCCTGGGGTGGGTGGGGAAGCTCTGTCTGGCCAATGCTCCTGGACTTCAGATGTGCCACCTGCCCCAAGGACATGCTTTCCATTGGTTATAGGAGACTCCTGAGCTGGGATTTCAGGCAGAGTCCAGTTGTTTGGTTCTGTGAGCTCAGTGCGGGTACAGTATCTGTGTGTTTAATGACAGGGTGCTGTAGAATGAGACCAGCATGCAGAAGTGTCAGTGCTGCATATATGGAATGTTAAAAATGTAGGGCTGGAAGGGACCTTATGGGTCCTCTAGTCCATCCCTCCCGTGCTGAGGCAGGATTACATGGACTTAGACTCTGACAGGTGTTAGAGCTCATTACCTTGGAAGGGGTTAGTCCCATGCCAGAGGGAGTGAGTACTTTACCTACCTAGCGGCTGAGTGAGGAGTGCAGCAGGAAAAAAAACCTACAGGAGGAAATGAAATAAAGCAACCCCTCCCCTCCTTTATCTTGGAGGTTCTCATCCCCTCCTGTGAATTGCTTTTTCTGCTACCCCCTCCCCTGCTACCCTGTGGCATGTAAAAGACACTGATGTACTGATGAATAGCTGCGGAATTTGGCCTTGTCTCTGATGTTGGTGTCCCAGGGTGTGAGTTCAATGCAGCTCTCTGTTGCAGTGTCTGTTGTTATTACCACTTTGAGAAATACTTTCATTTTATGCCGCAGCTGCTTGATTTTTCACAACCCCACAGCTTTGCCGAGAGCATGCTGTTAAATACAACACACAGTGTCAGGGCTATTATGCAATTGATGATGAAATAACTCCCTTCTCTAAGGTGGCACTGACCTGTACCCAGATCTGGTGGACCACGGAAGTTGGAATTGCCTTTGCCAGACTGGAAGAAGGATATGAGAATGCAATGAAGGAATATTACAAGAAGCAAGTGATCCAGCTGAATACCCTCATCACCATGCTCATCGGTCAGCTCTCCAAGGGCGACAGACAGAAAATCATGACCATATGTACTATTGACGTACATGCTAGGGATGTCGTAGCTAAGATGATAGCTCAAAAGGTTTGCCGATATACCACAAGACATTACGCCTTTTCAGCACTGTCATTTACTGTGTCCTAGCAGTGTCTGATATTAGAGCGCAAACTTCCCAACGAGTTAATGGAGTAAGGAAAATGGCACCATCTTTGATCTTCCTGAAATATGAAAATGTGTTGTTGCCCCAGTAGCTTCTAATGTCCCGGTCCTCCTCCCTGTACTACACGTCCCCTCTATATCACTCGTGTCCC